GTTTACCAACTAGTGAGACTGGTCATCGCAACTATTTATTTATTTATAGATTTTGCCGTTGATTTTGAAGTATTTGGTCCTTATTGAGAAGTTTATCAATCATGTTTAAGACTCCTTCAGGATCTTTTCCGCTTTCAGGTTATCTTCTTATCGAGCAAAAAGCTTTCCACTACAGCTGTAACAGCTTTTTTATTTTTGTATATGGATTGTACATCAAAACTTACCAGTTATTCTGTTTTTTTTCCTTCATACTTTTGATATTTTAAGAAAATGAATAGGAATGATTGACGGTGTCCAATAATCTATCAGTTAACCTCTTGGGTTTTAGTATTAATCCGTGCTTTTTGTGGGCTCTTAGCCATAGTGGTTCTTTATTTTTGTGTATCTTTAGTAATCCGTAGGCTGTTTACGTTTGTGCACCCTCTCTTGTTAGCGAATTCACCCCCCAGTTTCCTATTTATCCGTTCGCACACATTCTATTAAGTGTGTCCTACAGTGTTCCATCGATCTTCACTCTTTTGGTTTCCGCTCTAGTATATGATATATGGTTCCCATAGTGAACTTTCTATCTTCTCAGCACATTGTTTTTTATCCATTAGTACTGCTGTTCCCCCTTTATCCATCTTAAGGACTATTTGTTCATTCCTTTTCAATCTTCCCTTGTTTATGGGTTCTTGATGTGCAAAGCTTCTCAAGTTATTTACAGTTCCAATACTCGTTTTATTTATTCATAAAAATTGTCGAAGATATTCATTACCCATCCAAGAATAGCTTTTTTAAATGTTTGTTTAAATATAGAACGATAACCGATATCGCCTTTGTTTTGGAATCAAAAGGTGCTGCGGATAAATTCACAATCCTCTTAAAGTTACGACTAAATTTTACGCTGTTTTATTTTAGCATTTTTGTGCAATATCTTGTCATGCTTCTTAATTATAACATTCGATAGAAAGTTGGTTTGTAGAGTTATATCTTAGTGTTAAGAATGGCAAGACTCCCTGACGATTCCATCAAAATGACTATCTTGCAGTTCACGACGCTCAAAATTATCATGGCTACTATAGAAAAAGACTTCGAACAAGGTCAAACTACTTGTATTTAGGACTGATAGTTGAGTTTTCCTACAATGTGCGGTATAAGCCTCACGATGCCAGTAAATTCCACTTTGCCTTGCTTTCCAAAAGGTCCTCTAATTCAAGGTGAGCTGCATTTTCTGCCTCGATTTGGCCCAATTAGCAACCTCATTTGGATTTGATACATGGTTAGGATTATCATAGAAACAATCAACTACACAGCCAAGGATTCCAATATGTCCATGGCAAATATGAAAAATCACTTTTATAGTGTTATTGTCGATAAAAATACATGTATTTTCCATTGCAATCAATGAAGTTACTTATTTTGGTTTCTAGATATGGTAGAGGCTATTTCGTCTATTTAAGACAATCTTTTATGTGTGGGTCAGCAGGTCTTCCCTATATAGATATTAAGGCTTTAACAAAAAACCTTATGGCACCCTGATCTAGAAAGGGGATCAGAAAATTCTCAAAATTAGGGATTGCTAGTTCCTCAATAAATTATTGAGGCTCAACCGCTTATGTAGCTAACCTACTTTTTTCTAAAGCTGGCAACGTCAACATGAACTCAGTAGAGTTGTTTTATGTCTGTCCCTTCCTAAATAGATATGTTGAGCTTTATTTTTCATCACCTAATGCCTTTTGCTAATGCCTTCTTTTTTATATCAAGTCTCTAAACTATGCTTCTTTGTCCTTATTTTTCCCTCATTCTATGCCTACCAATCACGTTCAGTCTTCCATTCACTCCTGGAGGTATAGTCTCCCGCCTTCCACCCTGGGATTTATCGCGTAATGATCCATCCCGGCCACAGATTGACCGCAACTTGACAGCAAAATTTTGGAAACCCTTCCCCTGGAGGCAACATTCCTCTGCATCGGATGCTAGTACCATCCAACCTGCCAACAGCTTCTGTTTTCCGAGCACCATAGAAACCACCAGTGCTGCTCGGAGTAATAAGTTCGGAATCATCTCAGTCTCCTCCATAGCTTCTCCCCCATCTTCTTCATCGTCCTCGTCTTTATCTTCTACATTCCCCTCCTCCGCTTCCTCAGTCTCTGTCTCACCTCCCTCACCCCCATCCACTGCAGGACTGGGTCACATTGTTGGATCTATAAATTCGCGGCGCCCTGAAGACATTCATAGCTCTTCACCAGCATCTTCCAATTATGTTGCAATCTGCCAATTACAAACTCTTGCCATGAATGCTGTGCTCAAAGAGACTACCTAGGCGATAAATGTCTCCTCTCCGGTTACGTACTTAATTTATCATGTGTTTACTGTTGGAAAATGATTTGAAAACCCTTTTTATTCTTAGCACGAATTACTTTATTATATGATTGATAAAAACGTTGACAGGCTGTCAAGTTCTCTCAGCAAACTGGACTAGATTCTGTCCTAAGACTTTTTAATTCGTTTGCCTATTTCAGAGTTCTTCGAATGTTTTTCTGTTTGATTAAACTTTATTTGCTTTTTTCTTATCATTCAAAAGCTTTTTGCCCGATAATAACATATCCTTATGAGCTATTGAGAGGCTACTTCGCTAATATCATGCCGCTATGTCTGCTGCCTATTTTTCTTTATGATTGATTCTTGAACGCCACAGGCTTGCATTTATTCTTTTGGCCCCCAATATTTTTACTCGATTTTAGCATTATTTGTGAGCAATCTTTTCTCACCATTCACTGTAGCGCCTCATTATTCTCACCCTTTTTTCCACCATATATCCATCTCCAGCCTATTTACCACGGGATCATCTTTTGCTTTATATTGACTTTTTTAATGATTTCCCTAATTCGTTCAAGCCACAGAAGTGGCAACCTGCTTTTGATTCACGTGCCTTAATGCTTAATTTAAAACCACTCCTTTATACATTATTTTGATAGCTGTGCTTACCCATTATCTGGCAATCGAATCGACCATGATACTTCATTTCTTAAAATTATTTGGTTTTGTGTATTCCTGTTCTGGTATATTTTACCTTGATTTACTTTCATAAATAATCCTTGCAGTTTTGTTGAAGCATGACTGAATTTATGCCAGCTTCTAGGTGTCTAAAACTTTGAGACAGTAATTACTAAAGCAAGGGGATTCTCATTTAAGGAGAGACCTTATTTTACGAAAATGTTTCATTCGTTCTTTGATTTAGGGAACATGGAACCGAGGTCTGTTTAGCGATCTTAATACTACCTTATCCTATTCTTTTAATGTACGGTGTATATTTTGATTCTATCATTTGCAAAAGACGCCCTAGTTAATTATACATTTATTTATTTGAACACCTTTATACATGTTTTTTTGAAATTGCATCATCTAAGAAGTGGATTTTTTTATACTATATTACTTTTTTTATGACCTCATGCTTAGGTAATCCTTCATAAGTTATTATTTTCTATAGTCTTCATTATCGACCTCGTTAAAAGCGTGTAACTGATAGTTCTCCCTCAATTTGTATTTTATACACTCGCTTCGACCTATTGTTGATGTATATATATATATGCTCGCCTACTTAGATACTCTTTTATAATCTCTTTTTGTTTAAGGAAATGAATTTTCATTTAAAGTTATATTTCGGTCCTCCATCCTCATTTATGGTTTATCTTATATTGTGTTTATTCGAATTATTAACTACATCTCCCCGGAACTTTATTTATGCCTGAGAGTGTCACGGACATTATGTAATGTACCTTATGTATTAAGGATATTTTTCAATCATTTTATTATCGATTTCTTTTTCATTTGTAAAATTTTCTCACTATATTCTATTCTTGAAGAGCAATGCAATATTTTCGCTAACTTTATCACTAGTCATAATCATTTATCTTCAGAACAGATTGCTATTTATTGAGAGAGCCAGGCACTTAACCTTGTTTTTATTTTGCAGATATTTATTCTGCTTATCGCAATGCATTTATTATCTGTCGTGTATTACTCATGTTCGCCTTTTTTGCACTTTGATACTTTACCCTTATTCCAAATGTCCCACAGCCATGTTTTTTACCTCCATATAACTTATATTTATTCCCACTTCTAGAAACCCCAATACAACTTGCTCAGATAGATGCACATACGCATGCGCAATAAATTGTACACCGAAAAGTACTTGTGTATATTTCAGCACTTCATATTGCCTTCCTTACTTTGCAATAGCTCATGAATAAATAGTTGAAATTTGGTTATTTAAGACCTTGTGTTTTTATTTTTTATGGGGCTCACATGTATAACTAGTTAATACACATTGCATTGATTTTTAGTTTATTATTGAAATTTTTCTTATCTATAACAAGTATGATTTTTGGTGTAAATGTACAGAAGTCTAATTGCGACTTATCTATGTATTGTCCCAGTACTGCCAAAATAGATTCCCCTTGCTTAGCGTGACTTGATAACTCAATTATCAGAGTTCAAACTCAATACTTAGCTATATATGGAACATAGCACCATAGGAGAGTGTGGGTCAAACACTTTTGTAATAACAATTTTGTGAAAGTTCACTCATTTTAATGGCGATTCGACAGCCTAGCGTAAATATGCAACTTATTGCTAGACTATTTTCCAATATTAATATTTCACTGTCTTTTGCTAGATCTAGCGAAAAGCATTGTTGGTAGCTCATGAACTTCAGCAAGTATAAACTTGATGAAAAGTTTAAGTGCTAAACTTACATTGGGTCTAATTATGCTAGTCGGTCGCAAACGTAAGTAAGTATCGAAAGTATGAAGACCAAGATGGTGCGGCCTTTTCTGTGGTCGCAGTCTCCTTCCGTTGTATACAAGTTGTTTGACCTTGTTTTCGCAACTTGGTTATATTGGCAGGAAGACTTATAGGAACGCACCTTGTTATGAGTCCATTGTATGTATAATTATTTCCAAAGTCGGACCGTGGACGCGGTACATCCCCAGACGTTTCGCCGGCATCGTCAATGAGTCTCGCCATTCGTAGCACCATATTACAACTCGTGTAATGGACAAGTGAAGCCCATCCTTTAACCAAACGTGTGCTAAACTGTTATAGTATCTCGCCTTCTGCCTTGGCCTATTCACATTTCTTACACCTATCATGCCTTCCCTGTCAGTTTTTAACGTGAGAACAAAAAAGGCCACTACTTGGTTTTTATACTTTCGATTAATCTATGGAAGTAAGATTGCCAGACAATGCACTAATTACAACCTAACAAAGAAGACAATTGTAAGTCAATCCTGCCATTTGGCCTTTTTGAATTGTTGCTAACATTATGGTATCGCTTCCCGATTCTGCAATTTAATGAAGAAGTATCATTCGGACACAGTTAATGAAATATGTTATTATGCCTCCATCCGGAAATTAGAGGAAAGTCACGAGACTGAGAGGCGTAAGCTATTTAAGTTCATAGATCTTAAGTCTAGATTAAGGAAGGATCTAGGTG